GCAGATCTTCCCACCACAGCACTGCGCCAGACACCGCAGTACAAGCACCAACAAACAAAACCAGCCCAAACTCGCTCCCATCCAGTCCATTCTGACGCATAGCAACCCTCCCAGACAGAGCAGAACTGCCCCTGTGGTGCGGTTGGGAGGCAGTGCTTATCTCGCTCCTGCAGAGGGGCTGGTGGTTTTGAACCACTGACCTTGTCGTTGGCCATCCAATCTATAACCCACCGCGTCACCAGGGATCCTCAGGAGAGCGTCTAGAGGGTATGAATTGTCATCACTGCAGTGTTTACACATGTGGCTCCAATCCTCAGGGCCAGTAGTTCAAAACGGTCCGTTGCTCCTTGAGAGAAACCCACAGGGGCAGTTCCACCCTGTCCTATAGGGCTCCTGTGAGGTGGCATCGGCTTGATGGTGGCGAGTATCTCAGCCCCTAGCATGGTACTGACCACAGATCAGTTCTCAACACGTGTTTCATGAGTGAGTGAAAGAATGCGTGCTCAGCTCCTCTCGACCTCGGAGCCCTGTGCAATACTCAGCCTACAAGGCCATGACTCTCCCCCTGGAACTGCCTTTCCTTGTCCCAACGTCCCCTTTGTATCCGTGCCACAGCTGACAAAGGAGCTACTGCTTCCATCCTACCCCCTTCCCTACTTGCTCTATGATCTTGGGAAGGTCACTAAGTCTCTCAGAGCCTTGGCTCTTCATCTGCAATAAGGGTTCATCATCACAAGGAGAGAGTAAGAGGAATTACTTACGTCAATGCTGTGCAAGGCAGTCTTAATAAATTAGCTTGAATAATTGTCACAACCTCTCTGCGAGGGACTTTACACCCTTTCTACAGAAGAGGTCATTGCAGTTCGGGCAGTTAGGTAGGTCAACTGACCAAAGTCATAAGCTGGAAGGAGATTAGGGATGAGTGGTCATGTTAAAGGTGCTGTGTTAGAATGGGTAGACCAGAGAAACAAATCCAGGGACTCTCAGGTATGTGAGAGAAAACTTTATATCAAAGAACAATTGTATATTGAGAACACATCCCAGCCCGGTCCAGATCAAGGCCATACGTCCAATATTAGTCCATATGTCCCATACTAGTCCATAGGGCCCTCTTTGGACTCACACAGCCATGCCCAATAATACAAGATGCAGGATCATCACAGGCTGGTAGGTGAAACGTCTTGTGAATCCAGTGGTGATGGAAACATCTTCACCTTCAGGTGAAGCAGAGAGAAAGAGGGTGCCCACCTCCAGGGAGGAAGAGAGGAAGTTCCCAGAATCCTCAGGAGAAGGCCACGCCCACAGGAGGCACCATCGGGCTGTGATCTGATTGACAGGCGAGACTCCACCCCTTCACTCTTTTTTTCCCTTTTTTCCCCCTTCGCTCTTATTATCCTCCAGTTGACTCAAGATTATGTAACGATCACAGTTGACCACAGTGGCCCTGTGGGGCGTAGGGGTTACCCATTGGGCTGCTAGCTGCAAGCTCCACAGTGTGAAACCGCCAGCCCATCCACAAGGGAAAGATGGGGCTTGCTACTCTCATCATGAAAACTCACAGGGGCAGTTCTGCCCAGTCCTGCAGGGTTGCTGAGCTGGCATTGATCCAATGGTAGGGAGGGCTTGTGTCCCGCCCATCCACCCCAAGCCTGTTGCCCTCACGTCAGTCAATTCTGACTCACAGTGACACTGCAGGACAGTCGGACTGTCCCCGTAGGTTTCTGAGGCCCGCGACATCTTTCTAGGAGCAGACTGCCACAGGAGGGGCTCCTTGAGCTGCAGGTGTTTTCTTTAACAGCTGAGTGAGTGCTTTAACAACTGCATCACCAGGCTCTTTTGAGTTGTATCATAAACTACATTCATTTATTTAAACGGAGCATCCAGCTCTCCGCCAACCCCGAGAGACAGAATGGCATGTTCTTGTTCCACACAATCTTCTCAAGCCTCAAGTCTCCGGGACACAGGCTTTGCCACTTCCCAGCTGACCGGCATGGTGTGCTCTGCATGTAACCTCCAGGCCCCCCGCGCCCAGGCTGCCCCATTTGCCCCCAGACAGACAGACAGACAGACGGAATATGAGTCTGCACCTTTCATAGCTGCCATTCCTTTCTGAGTAAAGAAAAAAGGAGTCTTCCCATTCGATAGGTGAGAAAGCTGAGGCTCACAGTGACTGTGCCCACGGAACAAAGTGGGCATGTCTTTCGGTTCAATGGAGGCAGGAGAGGGGCACGTGGGAGGAGAGGCATCTGTGGCGTCAGACAGACCTGGGCTCTGATTGCAGTTCCTCCGGAGTGCAGGAGACAAAAGGGAAAGTAGCAGCGTTTGGGGCAGAAGGGCTCTTGTCGGAGTTGAGCTAGCCAAGGCAGAATGGAGACACTGGGGCTCCCTGAGGGTAGCCCTCTCTTACTCACCTTCGTGTCCCTGCTGCCACAGTCTCAGGGGCATCTCGGTGCAGTGCTCCATGGATGTTTGTTGGCTCAAGTAGGGGGGTGGGGTTGGAAGGAAGGTGGCAAGGGCGGGAACTTGCGGGTTTAGAATCAAGAATCTAAGGGGAGAGTGGGTCCCAGAGAGAGACCCCCTGGTTCCCTTACTCCAGGCCATCTGCAAAATGCTCGGGAGGAACAAGGTGCTGTGGCTTTAAATGGCTTCAGCGTTGTCAATGAATCTGGTCTGCTAAAAGAGTTATCCGCGCTCCTGCGCTTGGCCTCCCCCTCCTCTCCGCTCCCCAAACTCTTCTCAGCCGCTGTGATGGGATAATTAGATGCGAGAGCTCAGCACAGATGATGCTCCAGTTGCTTAGCAACTAATGGTTTCCATGGAGACCACAAAGCACAGCCTCTAGAGCAGCAAGTGAGCAGCTCGGCAGGGCAGGGAGAAGACGCAACTCTCCGCTCCTCCAGAAACCTGGGGAGGGCCAGGCCTGGGGAGGAGGGCGGGCCGGAGCGGGGAGGGAGGGCTTAAAGGCGCAGGGCCTGCTTATCTCTTTAAAATCTGATCAAAGTTCTGGCCTCCTGGACTCCACCCTGTCCCTCTCATAAATTCAGACCAGAATGAGGGCTGGGAGGGGACCCAACGCAGCCCACCATGCAATAAACTCTCCCCCACACCCCTGCTTCCTGCTTTGTCAAGGGGTGCCCCCCACCCCCACTGTAACTCACCTGTCAACATCCCTGCTGGCTGGTGCTGAGGGCGGACGGACAGAGGAGCACAAGGATGATGCCCGCCCCCTGGCAGAGTATCTGGGGCAAAAGGTCCTCCTCCCCTTTGAAGAGTGTGTGGTAGGATCTTATCATCAGAATGGGGACAAAAGGTGCAAAAGAAACAATTCAACTCTTCACCTGGGAGACTAGGGAGAATTACCTGTCCCTGTTCTGTCCAACAGGACCCCTCGTGTGTGGGGGGAGGGGAGAGCATAGCAGTGGTAAGACAGCATCAGCAGCCCCCCACACACACACCCCAGCATCTTCAATGAGACCTGGCAGCTCCTTAAAAATACAAAATGTTAGGCTTCACAGCTGACCCACTGAATTATCCATTGCATTTGACCAAGATCCTTGGTGATCCACGTTACATTGGAGAGATGCTGCTACCAGAGCCTCCTACCCTCCGCTCAAAGCTCCCACCCCAGGTGGGGTTCTGTCTTCACAGCTGTCCCTCTTAGAACCCCAGCTTTAGGCAGGTCCTTCTCAGCACCGGGTTAGGGCACAGCCCACCACGCCCACCCGCCCCACCCAGACCCAGCCCTTCCCAGGGGGGGAGGCAGAATGCTTTCCAGAATGGAGACACCCTTCCTCAGTTTCCAGAGTCTGTGGCCTCTCCCTTCAAAGGGCTCAACTGTTCTCAGGCAGCCCCGCCTCTCCATCAGTTTCCACAGCTGCCAAAGGGAGCGTGCAGACACCGCCGGTGGGCTGTGAGGACTGAGTGGGTAGGAACGGCCCCTCCCCAGACCCAGAGTAGCTGGGTGCTGCCCCCCACTCCTCTGCCTCTCATTACACCCCTCCCTCCCTGCTCTCTAACTTAAAACCAAACCACCGCCATTGGAGCCAGACCCCTGGCGTCCCTATAGGACAGGGTAGAACTGCCCTTGTGGGTTTCTGAAGCTTTGCGTCTTCACATGGAGTGGCGGTGGGTTTGAACCATTCACCTGATGGCTAGCGGTTCTGTGCATAGTCCACTGTGCCACCAGGACTCCCTCCCTCTGCACAGCACGGGCGTGTTCTTTCATGGGACTTTCTCATCTTTACTCTGTCGGGTCAACGAACGGTTGCTGAGCAAGGCTCCCTGTGCGCTGCTCCCCCGCCCCACCCTGTGGGACTGAGCGGGTGCCCACACCCTGCTCTCCCCAGCCATCTTCCTGACATCCCTGGACCCCCGCCCCACCAGGAGCCTGAAGCCTTAGGCCCTTGGTCAGCCAGGCCTCTGCTCTGGGCTCAGGTCTCACTGACAGCCCCTCCTCTCACATAGCTGCAGGACCTGGGCCTCAGTTAATACCGAGTTTTGGAGCCCTTGGCTCAGGTACCCTCCACCTGGGGCTCAAGCTCCGCCCATTCCTTCTTAGCTGGGGCCCTTAGAACCTGCTGCCTTCCCTGGAAGACCCCACTGTGTGTGTGTGTGTGTGTGTGTTGGGGGGCGGGGGGCAGCACAGTCCTCCAAAGCCTGGCTCAGGAATACTGCACCTAGCTGTGTTGAGTCCCCAGAGACAGGGTGATCTCGGCCCCCACTCCTGATGCCCTGCCTTACTGGCAGCTGAGTGAGTCTCTGGGACCCAGCCTGAGCATTCAGCCCTCCCCAGTGCAGTACCAGCTCCCCATCCTGAAAAACCTGTTTGGGGGGGCCCCCTGAGGCTGTGGAGCCCAAGGGGCAGGTTGGACAGGATTCCCCTCCAGCCCAACCCACCCTGAGGACAAAATCAGCCACCCCAGGGGCAGGGCCTCACTTGCCTGCAGGAAACCCCAGCCGGCCAGCGCCCATTCCAGCTTCCCACCTAGCCATCACCAGCCATGGCAGCAGGGGCCCGGATCCTGACTCTCCTGGCCCTCCTCGCCCCAGCAGCTGCAGGTCACTAGGGGAGGGGGGTCGGGGACAAGAGTGGGACCCTGGGCAGGAGGCACTTTGTCTTCTGTGACT